ATTCTCACGTTGGTGCTAATTATTTTTTTAGCTGCGGTCCAAACTTTTGGCAGCATCGCCTGTGACGTGTGGGCCGTGAGGGAAGCGCCCCCCCCCCCCCCCCCCCCCCCGTTACCGTAATCAGTGCTTCGATTGTGGCCGACGGCATCGCGACAATCAAACCTCGACAATGCGCATTCCGGCGAAATGCAATTTTCGGCACACCGCGAGCAGTGCACTGGCATGGGGACTCCGGCCGAGGTTTCATCTGTCTCTCGGGATCGTCATTTCTGGCCGGCCCCTCGTGGCAGGGCACCTCGGGCACGCATTCGGTTGGACATCCCAGCAACGCGGCGGACGGACAGCCCGCCAGCCAGCCATCCATCCACCCACGCGCCCCGGCACCCCCACAGACTCCCACAAAGCCGCTTATGATCCAATTCGAGCACCAATTCCGCGGGCGGGACGTATAGTTTATTTCGTAGTCGCGACTCGGCGGGGCCCACGGGCCGCGGACCGCTGGGTGGGCAGGCGAGGCAGGCGGCCGTGGCGGCCGAATCGACAGGTAGGGAATGAAAACAAGGATTACTTTACCAGAGGGCTTCGCTCAAAGGGCCGAGTCATTTCGACGAACAGCCCCTGTCTCTCTCGCACTCACGAGGCGTCCCGCAGGGGTGCGAGAGACACAGAGACCCGCGCTCCGCGACCAGCGCGACCAGCACACCGGAATTGAATTGCGGTTGCACCACCCGTTTAATCTACCCAACAAAGACGATGCCCGAAACTGACCGCTTCGCGGACGTAACATCATCTCGTGGACAGCGGGAGCAGAAAAAGATAAAAAGCACAAAGAAACATCCGGTCGAGAGCGCCCTGCTGCTTGCTGCTGCCAGCGGGACTCGGACGACGGCAGCGAGCACATAAACAAGTCCCCCTCACTGGTAAAACTGAAGGGAAGTCGCGAGAAGTCCGCCCTAAAAATCGAAACCAGAGAAGATTGATTCTTCCCTGCATTTAGATAGGATTACAGATCACCGCAACGTTTAAGCGTGGCAACCACCACGCTAGAAGAAAGGCGTAAAAGTGCGCTTCAGTTCTGCCAGTGTGCCCAACGGTTCCAAAAGCGCGCCCTGGCCGAGCAGGCTCGGAGCAAGACCTGGTTAGCGGCCACGCGAGAGACTGCGAGACTCATCGGCTCTAAGTGGCGGCCGGCAGGGAGGCAGGCATCCCGAAACGCATCTCGTCGCTCCGTCTCTCTCGGTCTCTCTCGGTCTCTCTCGCGCCTCAGCGCAACCCCCCATGAGTGCGAGGGAGACAGAGCGACCATGTGCCGAATCAGCAGGCGCCTACACCGGCAGATAGCATTCGAAACAGTCTGGGCAGAGGTGATACACGCGCAAAGTGCGTACAGCCAGCCCTGCGTGGCCCTGCGACCTTGCGCGACCCTGAGCCACCCCACTGCAAACCCTTATCGGCAAACAATGAACCCGCGTGTATCAATTATTGTTTCTCGTATGTACTAGCGGGAAGGCGGCCGTGGCGCAACGGCATCAGGTGAGCGGCTTGCGTCAAGGCAGGCTGATGAACCTGCCGATAGGCAGCGACTCATCAATATTTTGCGGAGCCGAAAGGCGCAGAGCCCAGCAGGGCGAGAACGCGTACACAGGCCGAGCCGGCCAGCGCCCTGCAGTGCCTAGGGAACGTCGCGCGCCAAATCGGACACGAGAAACCCGACATTCTGAACGAACGTCGACGGAAACGCGATAAAGAAAGTGCCGCGCCGTCGGTGACTAATTCAGCGACGCCTTCGAGCAGCGGCGGCCCTTCCCCAGGAACAAAACAAAAAAGCACACGCCAGTTCCGCCACACTAGGAAACGAAAAGATGAAAAGACGCGCCCAGCCCATCGCGCCCAGTCCATGACTGTCACTACAGTATCACTGGCACACAGGCACTGACACACAGGCAGTCCGGCTCGTCTCAAAGTCAAGGCACGGATCACGCGCGTGTCACATTCAATTCCATTCTATTTTTGGCGATTGTTTTTTAATTTGCCTTTGAGATAGCGCGGGCGAGGCACAGCGAAGCGCAGTCCGCCAAAAAGGCGGCGGCGCCCGGCGGGGTGGCCGATTCAGACGGAAAGCTCGAACCGCGCGCGGGGTATCGCCGGCGCGCTCTCTGCCCGGGGCGAGGGGTAGCGACAAGGCGGCCCAGTGCGGCCCAGCGCGGCCCAACGCCGCGCAGCAGAGATACGCCACGCCCACAGCGGCCGGCGCAGCCGCGCAGTCCATCGCAACCTCCGGCTCCACGCCGTCAGCAAACCGACGAGCTGACGCCAGACTCGGCGTTTCTCAGTAAAAGACAAAACAATGACACGCTTCGCGGCTTCGCCGAGGATGGACGGAGAGCGGGTGAGAGGGAGCGAGAGGGAGTGAGGTACCCGAGGTACCCGACGTGCGTGCGCTCCATGGCGCCGCTCTAACGCATCGCATCCCGCACACCAGACACGATCGTTCCCAGCAGTGACCTGTCTTACTTTCCCGAAACAACAAGCGAGCCAATATTTCGGCGTGGCTGCGCGCTGCGCGTCGCTCTATCGACACATTTCTATTTCCCAGAGCAAGGCGCTGTAGGAAACGCGCGCCGCTCCTGATAGTCGTTGGGCCCAGGGCGGCCCAGGGCACTGCAAGGCCATTGAACTGCAGTCGCTGCATTCGGGAACCGGATCGCCGCCAAGCCCTGAGCATGCGCCCCCCCCCCCCTTTTTCAATCTGTCTCTGCCCAAATCAGGTTCCCCAAAGGCAGCCCGTCCAGTCCGAACCTTGCACACGGGCATAGCGGGAACCAGCCCAGCGAGCCGAGTCCGAACAGTGCCCCCGTCTCTCTCGCACTCCTTCGGCGCCCCGCGGGCCGCGGGCGTGCGAGAGAGACAGAGGCACTGTTTGGAGTCAAGCTGCAGATGAACAACGCCGAGATTTGAGCGCGGCAGCAGAGCGATTCCGAACAAGCGTTTTCTTCGCTCCGTCTCTCTCGCACTCACGGGGCGTTCCGTCTGAGTGCGAGAGAGACAGCGAATCAGCCCCTCCTCCAGGCCGAGGCCGAGGCGGCGCTTGGCGGCTGGGATACGCCCTGCTGGGCATTTCCGTAGGGCTCGGTCGCAGACCTTCGGACTGTGTGCCACCACACTGTGTGCACCTTGCCCCGCCCGCCCCGCCCCGCCCTCGCTACCTTATCGTCCTTCGTCTAAAGGGCACACGTTCAAATCGACGCACTATCAGATGCCCCTCCCTCAATCGCAGCCGGGGCACAACGCGCACCAGGCCCATCCCGGACAGTGCTGCCTCTCTCGCACTCACGGGGCGTACGGCGTAGGGATGTGAGAGGGAGAGAGATAAAGCCCTATTCGGATTCAGTCTGCAGGAAGCGCGGCCAGGGGCGGGCACCGGTCCATCGTCCATCCGCGCCGCGAGAGAAACGACCCCGGCGATACCCCGAGCGCAAGCGAACGCCCACGCGAACGCCATCAAAAGTCGCTCGGGCGCGGAGTATCGCCGGGGTCATTTGTCCCGCGGCCGACGGCCCGCTATCCAGTGCAGCGGATGCGCGGCGGGCCAGGCGAGTGGGTAGGGTCCACGGCCTCACGTGGAAGCAGGGCACCGCGCCGCACTGCGCCGGAACGCGGAACGGGGTCGCGAACAAGACAAGCGGCCGGAACACACAGCAGGCCGCTCTGTCTCTCTCGCACCCCTACGGGACGCAGCGGGAGAGCGACAGAGACGGACTGCAGGCCGGACGGCAAACACGGGGATGGCCCTCGACGACTCTTTCCGGACTGATGATAAGGGCTACACTGCATAGCTGCGGCCATCTTATTGGCCGTGATTGCAACTCGTCACGTTCGCACTGCTCGTCCAGGACTCAACCCTGGCCGCCAAGGCCCTGGCCGAGGCCCTGGCCGAGCCCGGGAGGGTGAGGGGACCCGAGGAAACTGAGGAAACCCCAAGACGGTTCCACTTTTCCGAAAACCTCCGACTATTTGGATTCCCGGGTGGAACGGTCCGCGAAAGGAGAGCAACGTCCTGGGGAGGGGCACGCAGGTCGCGAAGAAGACTGCCCTCAAATGTCTGCGAGCGGTGTACCATGCCAAAGGACTCTAGCGAAGGTTTTTCAGGACGCCCCGTCTCGTCTACGCCCTGCTGCGCCCTGCGCCTGCAGAGCCGGCCCCCGCGGCCCCCGCTGCCAGGACGGGACAGTCAATCACAAAAATAAAGGGGGGAGGGAGGCTGCGACGTGCTGGTGGAGCCGAGCGCGGCCCGAACCCTTCCCCCTTCCCCTCCGCCCCTTCGTAAGGGCGTGCCTTCGGGCCAAACGGAATAAGAAACAACATAATATTGAATAAAGGGCCGAGGCGCGGGCTGCGGCGGCAAAGAGAAAACAAGCGAGAAAAATCCCTTCGCGTACACCGTTGCTGTTCGAGAAGCGAAATATTTTTTGGACTCCGACTTTTTTTTTAGAGGGGGTCGGTCAGGGACAGCCGAAGTGAGGGCATTTGCGGAAAAATGACAACTTTACGGCTGTAATGAAGGCAACAACATGAACAGCGTGATGAATGAAATTGGTGCATAGGGCAGCTGCCGCTCGAGTCTAGGGACCCTAGGGTTCCTACGACAGTCCCAAGGAAGAGGTCCAGCCCCACTCCCCACTTTTCCCAACAGCCCCACCAGTTGAAACCCCCATCCGCTGAAGCAGCTGAAACAGCTAGCTGAAGCCCTTGGGCTGGGAAGCCGGGCTGCAGGGGCGGCTGGTGGAGCGGAGCTGGAGCGAGCTGGCTGGAGCTGGAGCAAGGACAAGAGACCGCAAGGGACGCAGCGCTGCGATCAGCTGGCCCACGCCATCTTGGAAGCTTGGACGCGCAGCACGCACCGAAAAAGAGGAAGCTCGAGGCGTGTGCAGGACGAAGAGCGTTCCCATCGCCCCGAGTCCACGACCCGTACCCGCGCCCACAGCCAGCAGAGTACTCACCAGGCAACGAGTCGAATTAGAGTAGAATTCCGCGGGCACGGTGGCTTGTTTTGGTAGCGTTCACTGGGATGATGGTGATGGCACTAGTACGCCAAGGGAGCGATTTTCGTCGTCAAACGAGGTCAAATCGCCGCCAAAGTAACACTGGCCGTGCTGTCAAAGACAGGGCAGGCGAAACAAACTAGTCTCTAAACTTGAACTCGGTAGCAGCTTGCACAAATTGCTGTATCCGTCGACACAGGGCTGCTTTTTAGCACATCGCAGCATACACCAAACTGCTGTAGCCATGGAACGGTTCCTGCAAACACTAGGAACCGAAGGCGTGGGGCTGTTGAACAAGTCTTCGACCCGGACAGCGGCGAGATCCTGGCTCTTGGGAACAAGATGAAGCTCTGCTTCAAGGTGGACAGCGAGAGAGCGATGTGGCGCACGAGGACTGCGTCGCGTCGTCTGCAGTGCGTGCGGCGGTGTGCAGCCGGCGTGCCTGCCTGCCTGCTCGTCGGGCCGCGTGCCGCCCAGCCAGGGCTGGCGGCCGCGCTGTGTTTTGGTCCCCACTCCCCCTCCCTCCCCTCCGCCCACCGCGCCCACCCGACGGCCGACTGCCGCTCGCCCCGCTCGCCCCTCCAGCCCCTCCCGGCCCCACCCCGCCCCGCCCTGCCCCGCCGACGACCGACCGCCTCCGGTCTCCGGGCATCATGATCTGGGTACAGGCGACGCCGCAAGTTTTTGGGGATTGGAAAATGGGCCGAGCCGAATTTCGGCGACCAAGAACACCCAAACTGGACAGACAGACCGAAATAGAGCCTTTGTCGCCGTTGTCACACGGCTCCCATTTGATTAGCGGCAAAGCCACTGCCTCTCGTCTACTCCGTTATCGGCCCCATGCATGCGTGTGGTAGATTACCACTCGTTGCGTCTGTGACGCACCTGCGGCCGATATGCAGACTGCAGCCGCGCTAGGGAAAGTAAATCATCCTGCACGCGTTGCTCGTCAACTTTGTTGCTGCCTGGGCAAAAATGCAAGAAAGAAACCTGCCCCTTGTTTTGCCAGCAGACTGATTCCGAGAGACGTTTTCGTCGCTCTGTCTGTCTCGCACTCATGGGACGTCCCTATGGTGCGAGAGAGGTTTAAGGTTCATAGCGACGAAAACGACTCTCGGCATCAGTCTGCTGTGCCCCGACTTCCCCCAGCTGCCCCCATCCTCGCAGATCGTATTTCGCGCTGACGCGTCTCCGACAAGTCGTGCCTATAACAGGGGACACCGTCAACTTACTGCACTAAGAAAAGGGAAACAAAGCTAAGCTTTGGTCACTGGACCCAAATTGACACGCATACCGTGCTGGACATTCCCTATCGTCCCTTGAGATGCGTAATGAACGACCATTCATGTACTGAATGACTTGTTCCGATCTCTTCCACATTTTTGTGCTACTTTCTTTTGCTTCGTCAAACAAAATCTAAGTCGTTACATCTTTGTTTTTGACAAACAGCGATCGTGTTTATTTTTCGCGCCGCCCGTAAAAACATAAACGATGACCAGGTCTGCCAACATTCGAACACCAATAAATTAAACACGATAATGCTATCGTTAATTGTATAGTGAGTTTAAGTTAAATTCATAGTCTGATAGAACTTTAAAATATTAATATTTCGGACTGACATCAATTTCCTTCGTGTTTATGCTTGATAGAAGGCGAAATTTGTTTTTAACTTCTCCCTCCAAAATATTTGAATTTAGTATCTGTCTCTCTCACACAAGGCTCTGGAAATGCATGTATGTTTTCAATGGAGGCTTGTTTTCGCACTATGTTAGCTCTAGAGTGTGTTTTTTGTGTCTGTTTTACTTAACCTTCCACGAATTTGTGAACTATATACCGGCGCCAGAAGAACATAACCTCTCGGACCATCGCGGCGTAAAATGTCACAAGCTGCCATCACAGTGAAGGAGGAAAACCAAGACGGCATAACCATTCGCGGCTCTGGTCCTAACTCCAACATGGTTACGAACATTAAAGATCACATCACTTGTACAAGATCCATGGAAAACTTCACCGCTCAAGAATCTAAAGTGGGAATCGTGTCATTTCCGTGTGACTTTGATCATATGTACGCCAGCATGAGTGAGGGAATGGTGTCTTCTCAGGAGAAAAATGAGTACAAACACTTGAAGGAAATTTGTTTACAACACCTGGACCTCATCCAGCAGCAGTCCGAGCTCATGGCTCGGCAGGAAAAACAGATCCAGGCCCTACGTCAAGAAAATGAAAGGGTAAGGACGCTGCGAGGCTTGTGCGCCTGTGTGTGTGGCGGGTAGGATAGGGTGGCGCGGGCGACAAGCTGGGACCTGCAGGACCTAGGGCCTGCACCCGCCTCCTGCCCGCCCCTAGTCCTGCGCGTGTGCTAGACTCTGGAAAGGCCCCTCGCGACGCCGCTGCGACCCCTAGACGCTAGACGCGGCTCCCTCGCCCCCTGGCGTGTGCGAAGGCGCATGCCAGTCGCGGATTCAGTGACAGTGTTCTCATGTCGCGTACAGCTGGGCCAAGATGCTTCCTCCGGACGGTTGGTTCGACGCCTCCCTCGGCTCGATAATTTGGCGACGCCCGTTCCCGAGGCGGTGCGAAAGGCTGTCCTAGTTTGGCCATCGTTTGGGCCCGCTAGTCTTGACGCGCTGCGATGCGCGTCTTGAAGAAGAGGCGCAGCACTGTGGTGTCATTTGTAGGTTATGTTCCCTTGAGCTTGCTGTCATGATGTAGTTGCTGTTGTTTGCTTTCTGAGCCCTTGGCTTAACTTCGTTGATTGATTATTGGATTCAGTCAGTTGGAACGCTCCCTTGAGAGATTTTATCTCTTCTCTCCAAAATCGGTCATGTTTCATTGAGTTGTCTGCTCTGTGACAAGTGTTCACTATTTGTGTTTTTATTTTGCAGCTCAAGAAGAGTTTGCAGCGCTCGGACCGCCGTGCTGGTAACGCCAAAGCGAATTGTGGTGCTGGTAATGCTGAGTCCAAGAGAGTAAGATCACATACTCCTACATCACGTCATGCAAGCCCCAGCACATCTGAAAATATGAAAGGCCCTTTCCGCAGCAATAGATCTCGTAGCCCAAAGGTGACAATTTAATGACCATTCAGCATCATCATGCATTGAAACACCATTATTATTATTAATATATGTTTGGTTTCTAGGAGGGATCTCAAAGTCCTGAACTCTGGAGGAGAAGATCTGCACAACGAAGACAGAGTGAGGATGGTGGAGCGTCTATGAGCAGTGAATATGAAATGTATGATGATTCATCAACAACAACAGTCAGCCAACGCTCTGCCCTTCGGGGTAAGAGAGCAGTTGGACAAATGAGGAAGAAACCTAGAGGGAAAAGAAGCGCATCAGTAGGATCAAAAGAAGTTAATACAACAGAAGAAACTAACCTAGAAGATTCTGTGCCAGAAGGTCGTTCTGCCAAACGTCCAAGGAAAGGTAAAATCAATTTCACCCATTTTTACTTTTAATCTCATTTATTCATTCATCCTTTATAACTTCTTACTTTTTTGTTTTTCCTGCTCATTAGAAGAAACAGAAGAGAATACTGAAGGTAGTACTTCTCAAAATCATCCCGTTTTAACTACTACTTATCCATACTACACAGCTACAGGAAGTTGTGATACAAATTGGACTTTAGGAGAAACTTGCATTGAAACAGAACCTGTACCAGACTGTAATGGTGATGTTTTAGAGGTATAGATTGCTACCTGCTATTTTCTATGGGTTAGGATCCATTTATTCTGTTTTAACTTTATCTTTCTCCTTTAAAATATTATTGCAGACCCCACAGTGGCGAGTTAAAGTTTATACAAGTTTGTATTCAATGGAAGGAACAGAAAATCTGGATGATGAAGTTTTCTTAAAACGTCATCATAGATTGGAGGTTGATGAGCGGAGAAGAAAAAGGTTAGTGAAATGTCATTGTACATTTATAATGCTTCTTGTGGCTTATTCTTTGTTTCAAGCTAAAATTTGAATAATTATAATATTAATAATTTTGCAGATGGGATGTTCAGAGAATAAGAGAACAAAGACACATAGATAAATTGAAGCAACGAGAGGCTTCAAGTAATGCCCTCGGAGGTTCAAAAGGAGAAGATGTTGAAGACCCTGTTTGCTCCCTTTGGCCTGACCCAGAGGATGCACAGTTCCTGGAGGTATCTGATGATCTTCCTGTTTCAGCATTTGGTCTTCCTATCTCAAAGTTCACCCCAAGGTAAAACTTGTTTTTTGGGTTTGGCTGTAACAGTATTTTTATTTGATCTAAAGTTTGGAAATCCTCACTAATTGACTCTCTTCCTTCTTTCTCAGTGAGTTTTCTCTCCCATGGCTGCAGCCAGGTGCGAGTGACTCAAGATCTGCCCCAAAGAGACGTCACGGCCCGCGAGGAAGAGCTTCTGGTAACACAGTAAGAAGAAGAGGAGTGGGCAGAGGTGGTAAGTTTTCAGCTTTGATGGGGAGACCAAATGTTAAATTGATTTAATAACTTAATGTGGTTTTTTTTTTAATTATCAGGGAGAAGAGGTGATGGAGCTGAGAGAAAATGAAGCAATTACTTTTATTCTTTAAGGAACTTCAGATGTATGTGTTAAAGTTAAATACATGTTGTTGCTGCAATTGTTATTAGGCTGTGAGGTCATTTTACATTATGATTAACTGAGGGTCACCCCTTCACTTGACTTGGCTCCTTGTGGTATCTTAGGAGAACAGAGCCTCAAAACCTCCAAGGAACTATTACAACTTGCCTTTGATTTAAATCACTTTGACCCACAGGATTTATCAATTGTACAATCTCTCAAATCAATTTAATTTAAGACTTGTCATATCTTATTCCATTTATGAATTTTAAAACAAGACCTTGTGGCCATTCATGCCTTCTGTGAGCCTTGCGGATTTTTTAACAAATTCTATAATACAATACATTTATTTTATTTGCATACAGAACTTTTATTTGCAAACATTTTATTGTCTTTACAGAGGTGTGAAACATATTATTTTGCATCATTTGAGTTAAGTTTATTTTGGGACAATTCAGGGCAATCCAAAGTGTGAATTGTTCAAATGATTTGTGGTTAGTTTTCGAGTTTGTCTTTCAAGGTTGTATGTTATAGAATCATCTTATTTGTGTTAAGAGATATTTTACTAGTGAATGTCAAAGTTGGTGAGCAAGTATTGCTTATCAGTATATTTTTCAATTAAATTAGATTTGTTACATGTGCCTAGTCACTGTGGGTCTCCACTTCCAGTCTTGTGGCTTTACTAGAATAATAATGTATGCCATCTTTCAGGGGAACCAGAATAGAAGAGCAGTCTCTTCTGTTTCTGTTTTGATCCACTGTTTGTGTTAAGGATGTCCTTACTTGAATTCTTACATCAATTGTCTCCTAAATTAAGGTGCCTTTTTTTCTGTCTTCCATTTAGTGGACAATGTGATCTTAAGAAAGACGTATGGATTCCTTTCTTATCCCCTGTTGATTGTAGGTTGAAACATTAAACTGAAGTATGTTACTCTCAGTGTTTGAGGGGGAGTTGTTTGAGCTATTGGATGGTCACTCTAGTTAATTGTTACTTTCAATTTTGAGGTGCAAATCCTCTAGCAGTCGTACTTGTTGTTGTGTGCACGCATAGATTATGAGTGTCATTTTGTCAGTCTCACTAAACAGATTGAGTTACATTATTGTACTATCAAAGTTCTGCAGGGCTTTAACATTTACTTTCCAAACATTTTTACTTTGTGTCCTTGTTTTGTGATTTTAGTTGCCAGTAATATAAGACATTTACTCACTAATGCTACTGCAATATAGATATCAAATTCCAACAATGTGCCAACAAGGTGTGTGTTTGGGATGTATATTTTGATATTTCTTTACCTTTAATAATACCAAGTAGGATGTATTCTATCATAAGGGTATGGAAACTTTTCCCCTACCAATCATCACTGATCTGTCTATAATGAAATCACCTTAGTTGTTACCCCATATCTTAATTTTCTTCTCATTGTCTTCAATTTTTACAATTTAATTTAGAAGTTCATTGTGTAGTTCTTGTTTCCCTATGTCTTCTTGTTTTTAGGCATTTCTTGAACTTTCACCAAATGAAAATGACGTCTTAGGCATAGGACATGTACGTTTAAGAGTCATATTTCTGTAGTTCATTACAGTTTTTGTATGATGTTGAAGTCTCCTTTCTTTTAATTTTATAGAAGAAAGATGATCATTTTTTGTGCTCAGTCTTGGTAGTATAGAACTGATAAGTTACACTTTGAGAATGTTTATGTGAATTGTTGTCATTGTGCAGGGCAGGCCTCATTGCCTGCAGCAATTTGGAAGAAGATTCTTCTGTGCGAGTCACTAATATAAAGTTTATGGATACTGACGATATGAGGCTGTGCGAGCTATTTTTCTGTATTACCGTGGCTTAATCTGAGGTTGTTACAAAACTGAATGTATTGTAAAAGTGTTTTGGAATTAAATTTTATATTTTAAAATCCAGTTAAAACAAGTTTAATTCAAGAGCTTGGGAAAAAAATCAATAAAGGTGATGAGAGCTGTGTATGTTTGTCATTTACTTGGTATATTTCAATCCTTCTATCAGTGTCACATGCTTTCTTTGTTTCCACTTAGGTACAATGATAGAATTAGGCAGTTTGTCATTTAAATAATAACAATAAATAAACACAAAATTAACTTAAGTGTGGAAGTAGTTGCCTGATCATACTAATGATCGTTATGTACAAGCTTTTGGTTGAAGCTTTCAAATCTTACAATACAATAAATTATAGGCTAGGCAATCTGTTCATCCCCAGGACCAAGGACTATGTACAATGCTATCTTATGGACCCAAATTTTGCAATGGAATTAAAGCAAACTACTCAAAATTGCATGTTTAACCATTCATCGTGAAAGCTGATTTTTCGGAACCCAAGACGTAAGATCCTTTTACTGCTGAATCTCAAAACGAAGTAGTATAATTACGAAAACTTCCGATGTTGCGGACATGTCACAGTACCTAAATTTTATGCTCTTCATTCTAGAACGGTTAGTGCTCATTTAGAAAAACAATGCGTCATTTCTTTTAAATCAGTGAAACCAGGAATTTATAGGTTGGTACCGCGCGGAGGGATACGACTCCGACAGCCTATGAAACTAGAGCAAACCAGGAAACACAGGACTAGAAGCACTTGCGATGTACAATAGATGGGCCAGACTCATCATATTCTTGTTTCGAGATCCACATCTGTTGGAAAGTTGATAGGGAGGCCAAGATGGATCCACCAATCCAAACGGAGTATTTGCGCTCTGGAGGAGCAATTATCTTGATCTTCATTGTGGAGGGGGCCAGGGATGTAATTTCTTTCTGCATCCTATCCGCAATACCAGGATACATGGTGGTACCTCCAGACAACACCTATAAACAAAAACAGAATTATATTTCAGCTTCGTTCGAAATTTGACGAATCCTGCTTTGAGGTCCAAGCTATGTGTTTCCAGTCAAAGACCGATGTACTTACAGTGTTGGCATACAGGTCCTTACGGATGTCGACATCGCACTTCATGATTGAGTTGTAGGTCGTCTCGTGGATGCCGCTGGACTCCATTCCCAGGAAGGAAGGCTGGAACATGGCCTCCGGGCAGCGGAACCGCTCATTCCCGATGGTGATGACCTGAACATCAACATCTACGTAAGCACCAAACGAACACGGCTTCGACAACGAGAAAGAGCTGGAGCAGGGTGACTGAGGCTGGCCTCACCTGTCCGTCGGGCAGCTCGTAGGACTTCTCGAGGGAGGACGAGGAGGCGGCGGTGGCCATCTCCTGCTCGAAGTCGAGCGCCACGTAGCACAGCTTCTCCTTGACGTCGCGGACGATTTCCCGCTCGGCCGTCGTCGTGAAGGAGTAGCCTCGCTCCGTGAGGATCTTCATGAGGTAGTCCGTGAGGTCGCGGCCGGCCAGGTCCAGACGCAGAATGGCGTGCGGCAGGGCGTAGCCTGGCGGCAGAGGGGAAGGGGGTGGGTCAGCGCGTTACACAAAAAAAAAAGCGCGGTCAAAGGCAAGGGGGACGGTCATGGCCTCGGCGGGGACCGGACCGGACGGCGTCTCACCCTCGTAGATGGGGACGGTGTGGGACACGCCGTCGCCAGAGTCCAGCACGATGCCCGTGGTGCGGCCCGACGCGTACAGGGACAGCACGGCCTGGATGGCCACGTACATGGCCGGCGTGTTGAAGGTCTCGAACATGATCTGCGGAGCACACGGGGTGTCATTAAGGCGCCATACCGAACGGGGACGACCAGGGTTGCAAATGTCTTTTGCCCTCTTTAACGCCTGTGAGGTAGGCCACTGGGCCAGCACGCAACACACAGCTGTGGAGACGGTGGCCTACCTTGCCCCTGTGAAGACGACAGGGGCGAGGTAGGCCACCGTCTCCACGCCTGTGTGTTGCGGTCCGAGCCGGTGGCCTACCTCACAGGCGCTACAGGCCACACCTGCCTATCTTATCACTTGGTTGCTCTACACTCGGTGACGAGTGAAAGTGCTCTTTTTTCCATTGGCATTTCATGATAGATGGTGTATGAGATTCCAACCTGAGTCATCTTCTCTCGGTTGGCCTTGGGGTTGAGGGGCGCCTCGGTGAGCAGGACGGGGTGCTCCTCGGGAGCGACGCGGAGCTCGTTGTAGAACGTGTGGTGCCAGATCTTCTCCATGTCGTCCCAGTTGGTGACGATGCCGTGCTCGATGGGGTACTTGACGGTCAGGATGCCTCGCTTGGACTGGGCCTCGTCACCGACGTAGCTGTCCTTCTGGCCCATGCCGACCATGATGCCCTGCGGGAAGGAAACAAGCAGTTCAATTGTCAATTTTTTAAAAAGATTTTCAGGACGACCTGGCGCGGACTTAGCATGGGAATCGTGTGGGAATTTTGATATGAGTTTGCCCACCCCACGGGCAGGAGGAAGAATCGAACTGAACAAAGACTCCACGCGGTTCTGCTCCTACTTTCCGGCCGCCACTCCAGCCCCATTTCGATGTACTCCAGCCGCAACTTTCTGCCCCAAACTGCCATCATTATTTTTTGTGATTCTTCCCTTCCGTGAGAAGGCAGGGAGGTAGACTATGGTCTGGCGCACTTCTCCGTCTTCATTAGGACGGCGAGGCAGCGTTTCGGTGCGTGCCGCGGCGTGCCGTGCCTGGTGCGTGGGCGCGACGGGACGCCACTGGAAGTGGAGCCAGTGTGTCGGTAAAAGACGAACAGTTAGCGCCTTGCGTGCCGCAGCCCTGCTGGCTGTAGCGGGATGGTGCAGGTACTTGCTCGCCGGTAGTTGGCAGCAGGGAGTCAAGCAGTGTGGTAGCATGGAGATGGTAGCAGGCAGGCCGGTAGCGGGGAGTTGGTAGCACAGCGTTTCATCGCTCCGTCTCTCTCGCACCCGTTCTAGGCGGCGCGTGAGTGCGAGAGAGACAGCCAGTGCGTCGCTGCAGGTGCGGCGGGGAAGCACTCTTGCATTAAACACTATCTGCGCGCAATTAGGTACCCTGCACCACGCCGCGCCACGCCACGCCACTGCTTCGGCCTTCCCAGGAGCACTATCGGCATCTGGGCAGTCATCAGGTGCTGATAGTCATCAGCGCCAAGGATGATGATTTCATTCATGTTTTTCGCTCCGAAGGCACGAAACAATGACGGAGGGTAACGAGAACGCGCAACGACGGAGTCAAAGCCAAGCGAAAACTTGAAAAAAAAATGCGAGTTTTTTGTTTTTTTCTTTTCTTTTTTTTTAAGCCCATCTGATTATCGATACAGTAACTGCGGCTTTTACACAGTGTGCGAACATGATAGGCTTCACCGTACAAAATGATCATGTGCGCTCTTTTCAAAGATGTCCATGTAAAGTTGCATCTAATCAATGTTTAAATCCGTTTAAATCACGAAACTCATTTCCATATTGGAAATTGAAGGCATGTCGTCCACCACCAAAAATCCACAGGCGCGATATTTCCTAATATTGGCCGCGGCAAACTCCTAGACTGGCAAGCATCATATCACTTCACTGGGGGCGGGGGGGAACACTGTAATCCATGTCGATGTCGCCGAGGCTGAGGATGAGGTTGACGTTCACCTGGTACCGGGGGCGGCCCACGATGGACGGGAAGACGGCGCGGGGCGCGTCGTCGCCGGCGAAGCCCGCCTTGCACATGCCGGACCCATTGTCCACCACGAGGGCGGCCACGTCGTCGTCGCACATTGTCGCTGTCTCTCTGTCTCTCTCGCACTCGAACGACAACCGCACGCGGACGCGGCAGACACTGGAATGGCAGCCGGCGGGCCGCGGCCGCCCTTTTATAGCGTGGCGGGCGGCGAGGCGCCGTGGCCGCCGTGACGTCACGCCGGCAGCAGGGCGGCGCGGCGCAGGCCGGCAGGCCATACAAGGAGAGCAGAGGAGAGGGACCGGCCGGGGTAGGCCGCCCGCAACCACGCCGGTGCACGCGAGTACGCGCCACGCGCTGCAGCTCGGTGATCGAGATGACACCCATGCCCTGGGAGTCCTCGAAGGACTCAATCGAGAATATAAGAGCCTTGATCAGTATCATACTTTGGGCGAGGCAACTTGTCGAGATGGAGATCACCCTGGTCGGATGCGTGTGATATCGAGGAACGCCGTTTCAAAATTGGACTTGTGACTTTTCGCACGGTACGCGTAACGCTAATCGCTGTGTGACCCACACTGTTGGAACTTTTGGAAGCAGGCCTGCCGCCGCCACCGAGCCCCGGGACTTGCCAAGGCACTTGAGCCGAGTGCCGTGCGGCGTGCGCCCTAGCCCCGCCACGGCCGGGCATCGTCCATTGACACCCTAGATGGATAACCAGTGCCGGCGGTGCCGACAGGACTTTGCCGTTGCCGACAGTGGCGGGGACGGGAACCTAAACGCGCGACGCGGGTTCGTTTCGCGGCATCCCGATGGGTTACAGTGTGCCGCTGCTGCCGCTGCTGCCGCGCGGTGCAGAGCCGGAGGCGCTGAGGCGCGCTGAGGGGTGGCGGACGCTCCTGCATGAGTGCATAGGGCGAAAAGAAAGAAAGAAAGAAGCAGCAAATTGGGTGGCGGCGCGTGGCAAGGCGCGTGGCAGGCCGCGGTGCATCGGCACGCCACGCTCGCGGCCACCCACGCAAGCCGCGTGTGGCGTGTGCCGCGTGCCCGCGTAGGGCCCAGCCGCCCGGCCCAGCCCAGCCGAGCCCCACGGCCAGAATCGGGCCACTGCGCTGCCGCGCTGCCGCGCTGCGGCCCGCACACCCATAAAATCCGGTTCTTGAACCGAGATAAAGTACTTGCATCAAAGGTTAATTTACTTTAATGCTTCAAGTAAAGTCACTCGTATTGCAGGTAAATTTATTTGGTTCAAGAAAAAGCTTTTTTGGGAGCTGCCGGCTGCCGGCCGCGATGCGCAATGCTGAGCCTTTCCCTCGAGGGACAGCGGTTGTTGAAACCGAAACCGCCCCCCGCACGCTGGTTCCGAACGACGCTTTCGTCGCTCTGTCTCTCTCGCACCCCCGGGTGACGCCCCACGAGTGCGAGAGAGGCAGAGCGACGTTCGGAATGAGCCGCGCGGAGAGCCATAAAGCGCCGCCCCGTTTATATTCCTAGATGATTAGAAGCGGATCTCCGCCGCATCCTCCGTCACGCCGACCAGAAGCCGGCCTCTGTCTCACTCGCACCCACGGGACGACCCACCAGTGCGGCAGAGAGACAGCGACCGAAGCGACTCTCGGAATCAGCCTGCAGAGCGAGTTCACCGCTTCGGGCCTTCGGGTTATTCGGCGCGTGTGCAGCGCGCGGCCGCAACGCACGCCAATATTTCCGCGACGATGCGCGCGTGTGTGTGTGAGAGTGCGCGTGTGTGCGCGTGCGCAGACTTTCTCGCCCAGCAGGGAGTTGACGCGAGTGCAGCAATGTTGCCGCTGGCGCCGCTGGCTGGGACGTTTTTCGGGCCCTTTCTGGCTTGTTTGTTAAAAGATAACAACAATGACCACCCTCGCCGGTCTTGGAGCGTGAACAAAGAGGCTGGGTGCCCTGCACCGTAAGTGCTGCGGCAGCCCGCTGCAGCCGCGCAGAACACGAAAGCGAGACCGCGCGGCGAAAACGGACAACGGAAAACGGGCAGGCGGGAGATTTAAAACGAGGGAGAAAAGAGAGGCTGGACAGGAAGAGTGACTAGATGGTGCGGCGTGGGATCGCGCCATCGCGGGTACCTCGCGAGCACCACGGCGGCAGTAAAGCACGGGCACGGACGCAGCGGCGCGGCAGGCGTAGGGCAGGCGTAGCAGCAGGCGTAGCAGCCGCCTGCTTCCGAGCAGTCCTGCTGCCGCTTGCTGCTGCTGTCGTCGCAGTGTCGTGGCTCCGTCTCTCTCGCACTCACGGCCCGAGAGAGGGACAGAGCGACGACACTCTGTTCGGAGTCACTACACTATGGTTACAGGCTGCAGGAAGGAAGTGCCCCCGTGTGTCATGTCGCTGTCTCCGTCGCACACGTGCTGGCCACCGCCATGTACGGCCGCGGGCTGGACGCGGGCCACCTGCCTCCATGGAGGCCCCCACGGCCCCACGGCGGCGGTGGGGGTTCCTCTCTTTCTCTCTTTCTCCCGACCCCATGCTCGAGCAAACCCGAGAGGCCGCCACCGCCGCGCTTTGGAGTAATTGCGCACAATCTGCCATTTTTCTCATTTTCTGTGCGATAAAAATCGGGTTGGACTAGAGCGAGCGCACCGTCCTGTGAGTGTAGGTCTGTGTGTGTCTGTGTGTGTGGGTGAGTGAGAAGGAAAAGGAGGAGGGGGCGTGATGCGCGCGTGTGTCCGGTGGAAGCTCTGTCCGCTCATTAAGAAGGGCTCGGTGGGGCCTGACGGCTCCGGTGTCTGCCCTCCGCCCCTCCGGACTCCACCTTCGCTTCGCCAAGCTTTGCAAGCTTGCAGTGGCGCGGCGGCAGCGAGCAGCCAGTGCCCGCGGCCAGTGTCGCCTTGGTGCCGGTTTGGAGAGACGGTTTCGTCGCCCAGCTTCCCTGTCACTCTGACTGTCTCACACTCGCAGAGCGTCGCGAACGGGTGCGAGAGAGACGCTCTGTTGGGAATGATCCGCTGCGGCCTGCTGCGGGTCCGCGCTCCCATTGTTGAGCTTAGCTTCCCCACACCGACGGCCGCGTCGCCTCGCGTGCGCGTGCACGGCGTGCGCACAGCGTGCCGGTACACGATGCTGCCCAAGTTTGCACGCTCGCTGCGCCCGCTCCGTCGCTCCCTCTCGCTCGCACCCCTCCGGGACGCCCCACGAGTGCGAGAGAGACGGCGACTTGCCGATGCCCCGCGGCGTGAGCCTAGACCCCCGCGCGGCCCGGTTGGCCCGGAAGGCCCTCTTACATCACGCGAGATGAGGATTCAAATTCATGGTGAGGCGTAAGCCCTCCTAGCCACTGACGTTCATTCGGCCGCCGTCACAACACTTGAGTGATTCCACATCTAGGGAGCTCATAACACTTTTGGAGCGAGCTGGGCCAAAATATCCCGTATTTTGACCCTGTCCCGCTCTGTGTGCGAAAGTCTGCTGTGTGCTCCTAGTTCCTAGATTTGATATCACTGATTCGGCGTGTCGCCCCACCGCCCCAATATCCCCGGTCGATGGGAGGCGCGGCTGCAATGCCATATATGTCCCTACGCCGGAATCGGGTGATCAGAGGAAGCCCCGCTCGTCGAGTGCTGTCGGGTTCCGCCACCTGCGGTATTTACGATTTCCTCTGGCCAATCCCTGCGTACGTAATGTTTTAATCAGCGCAGAGATAGGCGTCGCGGTTCACAAGTGCAGTTCTGCCGAAGCCGCACCGCACCACGCCGCGGCCCCCACTCCGCCGCGCCCAGAGCGGGCAGCGGCAGCGGGCCCCGAGCGACGCGGACGCGGCCTCTTCACCTTATGAGGCATTCGCCTCGACGCATCGCTGAGCCGCGCCGTCGGGTTTGTTGGGTAGGGATTACGGCGCCCTGCTGCGGCGCTGCGCCCCGGATTGAGAGCCCATAACGAAGTGGAGGCGGGGGCGCGGACTTCCCCGAAAAAAAGGGGGGGGAGGGGGTGATGCCCGTGGTGGGTTTGTAGTAAGGACATCCAAATGTTATTTATATTTATATATTGATGTACAAAGGATGAAGAATACATCCACAGAATAAGATATAATTTCTCTTTACAAAATTAAGAAGTCTAATTTATAACATATACAGAGGACAAAGAAGAGTGCATTCTAATACAATGTCCAGTTTCTCTTTAGAAGATATAGAGGTAAATTCATGTTTTCTGTACAGTAAATCTTAATTTTCAAATATTACCATTTACAAAGATAATGTTGTTGCAACATTGTTTGTTTGATTTCAGAGTACATCGGATGAATACCAGTCGACGAGAGGGAAAATGCCATTGGCTTATCAGTCCCAAATGTAACATTAAGCCAAAAATAAAATTGGCTTCAGCAAATAAAGGAATTGCGAATTTGGTGACTAGATTTGTGTGTACAGCTTTCTTGATGCCACTCTTGTCAAACCACATATGAAAAGCACATAATAGAACAACCCAATACAGTTGTACTCTAGGATTACACTGAAATCATGGTAAGTATAGACAAACATGTCTAACAGTACATTGTAAAAATAAGCATGTAACTATACAAATAGAAAGACAGAACATTGTCAAACAATGCTATGCCTCAATGGCGTCGAACTATATACATACACTACAGATTCACATCATCACTTCTGTCGTAACCTTACTTATCCCATAGTCCTAATTCTTTCATTTTGGTTTGGAAGTATTTCTCCAGCACTGTAGCACACCTATAGTACTCAGTATCTGGAGAGTTATACAGACGACAATTTGTGAAAATTCTGGTCATGTCTGCTATAAACAACCTCCTTGACACATAGTAGTGAGATTTGATGCGATCAGCCATAGTCTTCAGATCTACGAGACAAAAGATTCCATGTTCAGGATGGCTGTAAATGTATTATTATCATTGCTTATCTGAGAAATTGCTTACCCATGGGAAACTTGATGTGCTCATAATAATCAGGAACTTCATTCTTGTCTACAGGCTTGAGGAAAGGCCAAGCAGAATTATGGCCCTTGATCTGTGAACAAAACAAGAAACAAAATAAAAAATTACCAGTAAAATTTTGTCAGAAATATTTCTAGTGAACTCCAGGATAAGAGAGTGAAAGCTCACAGTGTTCAGAACTTGACGTAAGGTCTGTTGCAGGGTCTCATGGTCATGACTTTCTTCTGGAGAGTGTTGCAGAGCACGTGTAGAACGAGCAGCAGGTTTCCAACCAGTCTCCAGTATGCCAGGTATACTTTCAACAGGAATACTACGAACGCCATCTCGGAAACATGTTAAGCCCGGGTGCACTTTCTGAACTTCTTGCTGTCGTTGTTCAATTAACTTCTTGATGATCTATAGCAAAAAGGGGGTCAGTGTCAAGACATGCTTACTATTAAATAACAGTCAGCAACAATAAATGATGTTTGTACCTCTTTCTGTTTACGAACAACAGCAGTAAATTCAGTGTACACTATTCTAGGGTCAATTTCACAATGCATCAATGCTGCTCCTTCATAGTCCTTAATGTAGCCTTGATAAAATTGGCGAGGCAGTCTTATATCTTTACTGAACCCTTGCTTCTTGAAGTAGCCTGACAACAAAAACAAAATAATAATGAATAATAATAATAACAGTCCTACTTTCCAAGGAGCTGCTAGTTACCAAAGATCTTACCAATAGCAAACTCATCACCAAATGTCAAGAAATGTAAAACATTTTTCCGGATGTGGTAGTCTTTTAGATGATTCATCAAATGAGTACCATATCCTTTAACTTGTTCATTAGATGTCACAGCTAAAAATACTATTTCTGTGAAACCTTGTTCAGGGAACATACGGAAACATATACCACCAATTGCACGATTATCCTTTATCAGTGCTAGAGTTCTGTGCTTTCTGCAACATGAATTTATTTTAGTTAATTTCTGCTCAGGTGTTAAAGAGTAAGGTACATATTAAGGTTGGCTCTGCGGCTAACTCGATTACAAAAAGAAGAAAAACGGAAACTTACGGATCAAACACTAGTCGAGTAATGTATTCTTTTGGCATACGGGGAAGCTGATGTGAGAAGACATTTTGAAGAGCAATCAGCCAAAGCATAGTTTGCTTTGAGACAGATTGAGATAAGGAATTTCCAACAACATGGAAACGTATTAGGCCTTTGGATTCCTCCACCTTGACAGCTGCATCCCGAGGAGCATTTTCCGGAAAAACTGAGTGCTGCTTAAAGGGGTAAAAAAAGTTTAATAAAAAAAATGTTTTATTGCAAACATATGTGAGTACTGTTTGCTAAGAAATCTATTTCTTTTCAACTAACTAACCTCTGGTCCTGCCATACAACTAGGATCATTGATAGTGGCTATGATTTGAGCAATAGTTTGATCAGAAATATCTTCTATACTGTCTTCAAGCCGAGCACGCTTGGCATGTTGATCTGACAGTGTCCTAAAAAAACACCAAAAGGCTTTAAAAATTTGTTTGATGAAACAGACAAACAAACAGAGATCAGAACTCATTTGGTCTTACCCTGTCTCAGATCTGGCATGCTTTTTTCCAACTCCAGGTGTTAAATTGATTGTAGTAAATTGATCCTTATCATTGGGCAGAACCATAAGCTTTTCAAACTCTCCTGGTCTTCGTGCATTTGTTGCTATTTTAAAAAATATAGAAAAAACTGTTAGAACTCTATTGTGAAAATACACACCAAGTAATTGGAAATGAAAACAAAAAATGGTTGAATTTACTACTTGCCTCCAGGCTGCAAATGAGCCAAATGGGGAGGAAGCTCTAGTTTGAAATCCACATCCCAAATGGGAGAGTTGGGAGAGTAAACTTCATCCTCTAGCTGAGCCAAGAACCTATTACCCAAATTGTTGGTTAAACAGACAAACACACAGAAAAAAAAGTCCACTAATGAATGATTGTTAGTCTATCTACGATCTATTAACGATCACGATCTTTATCTAAGATAGATAAATAGATAAATAAATAAATACAGGACAGGTCAAAAAACAAAACCCTTACCTGGGGAAGTTATTGAGAACAAGGTAGCGCTTTTCCATAGGCATACGGCTTTTCTCATTCTTAATTTTTTCTTTTAATTGTCGTCGTACAGATCGAAAAACATATCTAAGTAATGATCGACCAAACACTTGTGTAGTCTCAGAATGAGGGAAAGAATCACAAAATGCAGGAATGTGACAAAACACAAGCCATCTAAAATAAAGACAATAGCAGGTGTGAGTTAAAATGGTTGAAGTTTACTATTTAAAAACATACCAGCAACAAACTTACCTTGTGAAATGAATTTTGTATAGACTGAAGTCTTCATTTGAAACCGTGTTCTTTTTAACACTGGGAGATTCAAAATTCCAATGATTCAAACAGTGCAAAAACATCTTGGCCAAGTCCGACATTGTAGAATATTCCTAAATAATTGTTTAAAATTGTTAGTTATAGTGAAACTTAAGATTATATTGCACAGGTACACATGATACCAAAAATTCACATTTACCCTTTGAGTGGTGTTGGCAAACTTCAGCAGTACAAAATTAGAAACAGCTCGATGAATACTTGGAGTTTCAAATGGTGGTTGTCCTAGAGGTCCTTCAGATGTTGATGGTGTTGTTTTGGTCATGATACATTTCCGCAAGAGCTACAAAAATAGGATTAAAATTAAATTGACGAACAACATGTGCATGTGACAAATAATGTTATCAATGTAAAAGGCAAGATGCAGGAAAAAGGAGAGAAATACCTTGAAAAGATAATAATAAACTCGTTTTGTCTCTTCGTCTTCCTCTTTATGCATGGCCATAAAAATATTTTCGACATCCACAACCATACCAAGTAACTTATTCAGTTCATTTTCATCCAGTGATTCGAGATGCGTAACGTGAGAGCCTGCAAAAGGGGCAGAATGATTAGTAATGGGAATTCACTCACAGAGACCATTCAAAAACAGTCTATTTGGGTACTTACGTAAGTCATGGGTACAGCTACGGCAAGGATCTGTGAAATTTGCAAGCGGCTGGGATGCATCCGCTCTAGGTGAACGGGCAAGAGGTGTGGGAGCTTTCCATCCATTGCATTTACAGGTATCAGCCTAAGAATATGACATCATTAACTCAGCATAACTCCAGCATAACAAAGCCAAAATAGAACAAGAAATTCTAATAAGCAAACACTTGGAAAGCCTTACCTGGCAAGCTGAATAAATAGCCAATTTAAGAAACTTTTTACTATGTGGCCAGTTGAACACCTGTTTCTTTCGCTGTTGTATCCTCTGGACATTGTTGTTTGGACGGGGAACTTGATCTCCTTGGCTTGACGCTTGAGAACTGACTACTCCTCCAACACCAGTTCTAGCTGCTTCCTCAGTGGAGCTAGTTCCTGGCTCAGGGGTTGTTACCCCACTACTAGACATCATATTGTTGTAAGCTTTGTGTCTTCAGTAAGACCACAGATGAACAAACTCATACAATCATATTCCTTCCATTAAGCCTGAGAAATCACCTGAAAAACCAAATCGAAAAACCAAATTTGAGCAAATAACAAATAACTCAGACGAGCATATTTTTAATAAAGTCTACAATTAAAAACAAAAACAAAAATAAACTGTTGGGAGGATAATAAACAATGAAATAATAGATAAAACAAGGTTAGGGCACCGGTTCAATATATAAAAGTCACTTGAAAAGTGACCTTTTAACGACTTGAAGGAGAAGGAAGTTAAACCCATACAATGAGTAAATAAATAAGAACCTATTGGAAGGATCCTAAACCGTGGAATACTCACAAAAGAGAAATTTGAAGCATACTACCAAAACAAAACTAACGAATTTGAATATTTACTGACGCCATATTTGTTTTCGCAGGCGTGGCGTAGATCCATGACCACCAACCTCATGAACGAAATTAATAACCAACAGGGATCAATGAACAATATAATAGTTTCAAAAACCGATCCCCTTCAATAAAACGTTTCATGTGGTTCTTATTTCATTGCAAATGCGCTCGGTTGTTTTCGTTAGCGAGAGGAGAAATTTTGGTGATTGGGAGTAAGGTTTGGAATGTTAGCAGCTTGGGAGCAGGGACCGCGCAAAATTTGATTCGAATTACTGTCTTGTTCAACTAAGGAGGTTTGCTGTAGATGGTCCAACTTATGTTTCATGACCATGACAAATAAAAGTTGCTGAGAATGAATATTGAGTATCCTTTTATTCCAGTTGTTATGATTTGCAATGAGCCAGTATCACACACAAAGTATTATTAGGGTCTACTGCTCCACTACATTGGTTAACAAATTGTAATTAAATAATAAACTTAAAGATGATAATTTTGTTTCTCTTCCATTCATGCAATAAGAACGAAAAACACAGAAAACATAAGACTTAAATAATATCACAAGAAAAGAAGGGGACGAAAACAGATGAGGTGAAAGTATTATTATCATGAAATTATTTTAACTCATTAGCAAATCTTTCCCAAACTTAGCTACCCACATACATACAAACAAAATGAAGACCTTTAATCTACAAAATAAGGTAATGATCAAACTAAGTTTCACAGCCAAGTCTCCTTGCTCTTCAATGCTTTCATTAAAAGTACAAAGAGGATAAGATAGAAAGAACAAAAAATTTATGATTCCTGAAGAAAATAGCATTTTCTCCAAGATGACGAACAGTGCATTACCTATATTTTGTAGAACAGTGAGAAAGAAGACCTCTTTCCGTATGTTTAAAACAAATTGGCAGCATTTTGCTACATGTTTTGAAGTTTTAACTCAAGTTATTCACACATAAGGAAACAGACACTGATTACAAGTAATAAATTTTAGGTTTAATGTTACAAGAAACTCTAACAGAACATGACCATTATTGAGTGATTGTTAAAAGCACTGCTGCACACAGCATAGACAGAATAATTTAATAAAAGAGAAGGTGAAACATGATACAAATAAAGAAGATGATTTTTCAATGTGGTTCTGATGTAGACGAATCATAATTATGGCTTGCTGATGATGCAGACTGGGCACTTTGGTTTTGAGGTCTTGGGCTGTCAGTGTGTCTCGAACTTCTGCTTATGTCTGATGGACTCACGATGACAGACTGAGTTCGAACATCATCAGGAGGTCTAGGTGAGTGATGTCTAGCACATTCCTGTGCTGTCTGCAATGGAAAGAGAAAACACCACAAAGTTAGGAAGCTCCAATTTATGAAATAATGATTGAAAATAAAGAAAAATATTGCCTTACTGGGGTCTTTCCTGCGCTTTGCACTCTACGTCGTGCCCACTTAAACTGTTCCATGAGCTCATGCTGTGCCTCCAGGCTGTCAATACAGGATATACACACTGTTTTGGGAAGTGGATCATTGGGATTCACCTGCGGCAGACGAGAGTCCAGGAAATGTCAAAGCTGTCCATAACATAACCTCAAAGCACCTTGAAAGGCACACATAAACAAGCCATTACAGGGCCGGCGCTAACCCCTACTTACCGTTATCGGGAGATAAACGTTAATCTTTTGAGCCAATTGCATCTGTACGCCCTCATCTCCGTAGATGTGAACGACAAAACGGTTCATCCTTGAACAGAGGCGACAAATAAACCCTGTGATCACAGCTTTGTCGTCGCTCCCCATTTTCACGGGTTTCTAGCCCACAGCAGGCGTAGAAAAAACAGGTGAGAGAGAACACAAACGGCGACGTTAATGAAATCAACCGACAAGAAGCTTCGGGGATTCATACAACTGGAAGAAAAGCGGAATTACAAAATTGACTTGTTCGTTGGCAGCCTGTGGGCTTCCATCTCCCCTCCGCTCCCGCTATGCTTCCCTCCCTCCCTCCCCGTCCCTCCCCCTCCTCCCACACTCCCCACTTGCTACACTTGCTCCTCTCCACCGCAACTCTTGCCACTGTGTGCACCAACCGGTGCCCCTTTCCTTTTTGTACTGTTGCGTATTTTGAACTTGCTCGACGAATTTCCAGTGATCCTATGCTGAGTGCCTCGCGCTTTTAGCAAATGATACCTTTACTTTATTTTCACCCCTGCCCCTGCCACAGGCTAGGGTAAGCGTCTGCTCTTCACGGGCAGCCCTACACGCCACTGGAAGGAACTAGAAGGAACCCGCTGCTGTTGGTTCCGTTCCTGACAGTGACGTCACTGACACGTCACTGACACGTCAGTGATGTGAGGAGTGAGGACCGCGCGGCCGGCCTGTCACTTTCAGCGCGTTTTGTCGGACACTCCTCCCTCGAAAGCGACGCCGTGCCGCTGGGGGCTGATTCCGAACCGTGCTTCACAGCACTGTCTCTCTCGCACTCTAGGGGCTGCCCGGGAGGGTGCGAGAGAGACAGCGTGCTGCGTGTCCTACTCCGGGACTCCGGGAAGGAAGCCTGGCGCTGACGGGCGTCTCCGCGCTGCACTCCAGGCGCGCTGCTCCGCGTAGCTACGCTCCGGGGCGGCGTGGGGTGGGGCGGGGCGAGGCGGGGCGGGGCGCCAGCCCAGGGGCGGTACCGGCGGTACCGGCGCGGCGACGGGGGCGGCACGGTGGCGCGGTGGCGCGGCACGGACGGGCGGACGGGCGGGTAAGTAAACCCATCGCATGCGACGTGAATGCGCCGCGATGCGCGCCAGCACGTCCTTATTTTATTGCATATTGGCTGGGCCCGGCACGGCCCCGCGCTGCACGGCGCCCCGCCCCGCCCGACACGTTAATGGCGGCAGCTGCTAGCCACAAAACTTACCTCGTAAAAATGCATATTGGTTTCCATACATAATTCGGCGCGGTCCTCCCGGCTCCGCGGGGCTCCGCGGGTTGAGCCCTCGGCGGCCCTCGGCCATCGCGCCGGTCTAACGAGGTCCGCTCTACTCAGGACTCGGGAGAGCCCGCCAGCCCGCCAGCCCGCCACGGCGCGCCCTTGAGAGGGGTGGAGGTGCGAAGCGGTGCGAAGCGACTACCCCCGGCCCAGCCCGGCCCGGCCGAGAGCGATGCCGGAGACTCGTTTCGACCCTCTGTCTCTCTCGCACTCCCGCGGACGCCCCATGAGTGCGACTGAGATGGAAGACTCTTCGGAGTGAGTCTGCAGTACCGTTCCAGCATGGTCCCATCTTCCAGCGGCTTCCAGCTCGGTTAATAGGGCCTTCGACTACCCTGAGGGTTCCCTCCAGCCAGACCCATCTGCCGCGGAGCCGTGGAGCTCCTCCCGCTGATGGCGTGCAGGGCCACGCGCAAACCCGCCACGCCTTTTTCGAAAGTTTGGGACAGGTGTCGGAGCGAGTGTCAGTGCGCGTGACGCGGCAGGCGTCGCGTACAGTGCACCAGTCGGCACCAGCGTGTGGAGACTGGGCCGCCCGCGTCCTCCAAGCACGCGGTGCGCCCCACATTGACGGCGGGCTTTGACGGCGGGCCTTGACGGCCGCCTTCTCTCCGGAAAGGAATTTGTCCGCCGCGCTCCCCGCCGCCCCGCGCTGTTCCGCCTGGCACCTGCGCCACCGTGGCGCCGCCATGGCGCCGCCGGCCCGATCCATACGTCCTGTTATCGAGACGATTTTCTGCAAAGGAGTTCCCCGCCGAGCAATAACGGGCCTGCAGCTGGTTCCACGGCCCCTGCACGCTTCCCCTCCCCCACCCTCCCTCCCCCCGCCTCCCCACGCTGCAACACTCCAACTACCCCGCGAGGTACCCCGTCACCGAGCCTGATTGTCACAGAGCGCTTGTTGGTGAAGCAATGTGTCACCGCGCACCTCTTCGGAGACGCCTCAAACCAACCCGGACTCATTTGCACGTGCGTTGGTTCTCTTTGCAGCCCTTGCTCCACGCTGGGGGAAAACAAAACAACCTCTTCTCTGTTTATTTGCTTTCGCGGCCTATTTCTTTTCTATCTTCAACGGGCGCCCGATCGGCCTATTCGGTCCGCGGGCCGCGCGCGCCGGCAATGCATGAAATTATTTTGCACGTGCCTGCCGAGCGGTAACGGCTGTCTCCGCCGGGGCCGCGCCGTGCCGCGCCGTGCCGTATCGGGCCCCCGGATTGGGTCGGGGCGTTCTGATTTATCGTTCAAATTCTCTAACACATTCGCGTCTTGCGGGGGCCGTGGGGCCGTGCGCCGCGGCGGGGGAGGGGAGCAGGGGGGCGGGGCGAGACGATTACAGGGGGAATCAGGTGTTCGCCCGAGAAAAATGTGCGAGCCCGGCGACGCTGTTTCGGAAGGGGGCGGCGGCAGGACGGCGGCAGGACGGCGCGCAGGCTTTGGTCGCAGAAAGGAGGAAGATGGATGGCCTGCCCCTCCTGCCCCTCCTCCCTCTCCTCCCCCCACACCGCCGGCGCCTTGCGGATGCAGTGCCCGACCTGCCGTCCAGTGTCTGCCGTGGCCCAGTCTATTTGATTGTCCCCGGACGGACGCCTCCACCGTAATGGTCTTCTTCGTGTTGAACACGACCGGCGGCGCCGTCGGGGGACCAGGGCAGACCAGGGCAGACCGGCGGGCGGGCGACGGTTCTAGCAGCCCTCTGGGCCAGACGACGCGCCGTGCAGCGCAGATTTCCCAACGCACGTCGATTTCTCTTACCAGTGGGGATGCACAGCGAGGATTTTCCAGAAGAATATTCATAAAATGTTTATATTTATATTTTCAGAACAGAAATATGGGTCGGTCAACAGGGACGATGCGTCCAGTTTCGTCCACGAGTTCCCTTCGTCGACTCGACGCAGACAGAGGGCCTTGTCCGACCTACGACCACGGCGACGCCGCTCCCCATAAGACTGCCGGCCGTGGCCCCCGCGCCCCAGGGCCCCACGGCCCCACGGCCCCACGGCCCCACGGCCCCACGGCCCATGGTTGTCCATGGCTGTAACATCAGCGCGCCGGCCGGGGAGTGGCGGCTTTCGGCGGCATGTGGTGCTGAGTGTTCCTGCAGATGTGGCCACCCCGCCTGGACACCAGGCCAGAAGGGCCAGCCTGGGCCAGCCCGGCACACTCACACAAACACGCACACACACACACACACGCACACGCGCGCGCACACAATGGCCGTCTGGCTGCTCGATACTTGCAGAAAGCTGCAAGACACCTTCAAAATAACTTGCTTATTTCCGTTCCTGCCGAGTGGCTTTTGCTTTTGTTCGCCGTCGCCGACGAGCACGGCGAGCACGGCGAGCACGGCGAGCACGGCCACAGCTGCGAGGCGTCGCAATGGCGTCGCGGCGACGGGGCGCCGCCAAGTCGGTTCTTTTCCTTCTGTTGCTTACGTAACCCTCTCGGATATTAATAAAGTTTTGACTGTTAATTCCACCCCGTCCTGGCACGCCTAACCAGGCGGTGCCCCCTTCGCCCCCCCCCCCCCCCCAGGGGGGCTGCCCCTACCCGCTCCTTGCGCAGGAGGCTGTCAGGCCGGGCCGCCTCAAACTGTCTCCTTGCGATAGGATTGCGGCCGCGAGGCTCGGCGAGGCCGCACCGTACCGCCTGCGGTCGACGCGGCCCGAACTGCGGCGCCGGCAATCGGCAGCCGACTCATTACGCTGTCTCTCTCGCACCCCAGTGGGCCGCCCTACAGGTGCGAGAGGGACAGAGCGACTGTACGGAATCAGCCAGCCGTCGATCAGACGAACGAACGCCTATCTAAGTTTGTCGGAAACGGACGGAAACGAGTGGCACCTTGCCGCCGTCGCTTTCTCTCTCGCACTCGAGGAGGAAGGTGAGAGGGAGAGAGATGGCGCGACGGAACGCCGCTGGTGTGGCGGCGGCGGCCAGCGCCGTGAGGGCAGGCAACGCGGCGGACGCGCCTGTCCGGCGGGCCTGCCTATGGCCGCGTCGCAGGCGCTCGAGCCAGGCCGGCCGGCCCGGGAACGCAGGCGGCAGAGGCAGGCGGCAGCGCTGTCGAGATGGTTATCGTCTTGTCGGCACGAAGGCTGCAGGCTGCAGGCCCACGCCCCGCCGGGCCCCTCGCCCCTCGCGTCTGGACAGGCTCCTGCTGGCCAGCATCACCGCCATCACCGCCTCGGCGCGGAGCTGCGGAGCTACACTGAGCAGCAGCCGGGCGGTGCGCGCCGCGCCTGGTTCGTGTCGCGCTGCTCGGGGTGCTCGCGGTGCCCGCGGTGCTCGCAGTGCTCTGGGCTGACGGACAATGCCGCTGTCACAACACCGAGCCCATCAATGGCGTTATTTACCCGGCGAGACTGAAAAACATTTCCAGTTCAAGGAATGCGGGCTTTGCCCCGGACTTATTTGCCCCCTCCTTGCACTCCATTCGCCCTTCCGCGCAGCGTCTCTCTCCCCCCTCTCTCCCCTCTCTCTCGCTCGCTCCCTTCATCTCGCCTCTAAACAACCGGCTACCCTATTCACGGAATTTTACTTACCATGCTAATTTTCATACAGATGACAAAAATCCCACGGCGAACAGGCGAGGCCGGGCGAGGCGGGCGTGACGGCTAGGGCCCCGCCCGGCGCTGGCAGGCCAGCAGGCTGATTCGAAGCAGTGGTTCGTCGCGCTGTCTCTCTCACGCTCACGGGGCGTTCCGTTGGGGTGCGAGAGAGACAGCGCCACGAAAGCACCGCTCGGAAGCAGCGTGCTGGGCCGCGGGGCCACGGCGGGAGCGGGCGGCTGCGGGCCGGCCCCTGGCCCTCGTCGACCAGCCGTACGAGTAATGCAAACGGGGAGCCAGGAGTCCGAACCTCACTTTTTGTCGCTCTGCCTCTCTCGCACCCTTGCGAGAAGCCCCATGAGTGCGACAGAGACAGTGATGAAAACGAAGCCCGGCACCAGTCTACAGCTAGACGCGGAATGTGAAAAAGCAACCACCACTAACTGCGTGCTGCGAGGCTAGAG